CAAATATTATCTTCTATATATCACATTTATCAGTCCGAGCAGCATTTATCAATGGATTGAGTAAAGCTATTTTCCCATATACGTGTACAATCTATATGCAATTCTGTGCTGCGATAGTTTTCACATTTTCATGTAGCATTTCCTGATTGGAAGATAAAGAAGAATTGCTAATTTATTCTGTATATCATTATCATAAACGTGATCTCCTTCTTTTTCCAAAGTGAGGGGTTCAGGAAGCAGAATCATTGGTTAAAGCCAATTCCTGGATACAATGCCGATTTTGATATCAATGAATAACTTGTCTGCAGAAATAGGACACCCAATACAATGAAATTTGTCAACACATATCCTCACACACTACTGTAAAATCATTAATTTTTACTGGTACTTTGATTCAAAAATTTTCAGTGAGCCAGATAATGAGTTCTACGTTCACGTGGATTTAATTTAGTGGATATTAGTGAGAATGATAAAATTAAAACCCAGTGAATAATTAATACATCTACAGTATTCATGTACATGTACATGATTAATTTTCAGAGAAGCCTACAAGGTAGCATGCCTGGGAGTTACTGAGAATGACTGGAAGTACCTAGCACATGAAGCCATTGAAGGGCAGGATTATGATACTGCAAAGAAAGCCTTCATCAGAATACGTGACCTCAGATATTTAGAGCTTATACATAGTATTGAGGTATAATAGTATTGATAGCTTTATCTATATCTTGATTGTTCAGTTGTCTGAACTATGTAACCATTCTGTCTTTCAATTTATTCCATGTTTGTTCCTTCAATTTTTCTATTATTATACTCGTAAGTGACTTTACAAGATGCATGTTTGTGTATGTATAAAATTCCCAAAAATAAAATGCAACTTTCAGCTCTTGTTTGTATGTGAAAACATTTTACACCAATATCTCAAGAGCTACTATGTGGATTGGAATGAAATTTGGTTCATAGATACTTGGGGATGAACTTAAGACTAGATTAGAATTTTGTATAAGTCCATGTATATTAATTAGGTCATTTACATACTTAACAGTTTTCATATCTTTTGAATTGCTGGTACAAAGGCATTGAAACTTGGTACCTATAAACTTACATGTGTTACATGTATATTTCTGGGGATCCAGCACCAGTTTGGCTGTAGCTTGAGCCTTTTTGTTAGACATAGATTTTGTGAATCGTTTTCTTTTTTTCATTCTCTCCACACATTGATAGGAGCGGCGTCGTCGGGGTGAATACAACGACCTGTTGTACCTGGCTGATATTTATGCTTATCAAGGACGATTCTCTGATGCAGCTAAGTTGTACAAGAGAGCTGGACACGAACAAAAAGCTATGAATATGTACACTGATCTCAGAATGTTTGATTTGGCAAAGGTAACGAATGAGAGCATTAATTGCATTTAATATTGTATTATTCCATGATCTATTCATCATATTTGGATTATGACTCAATTCTATGTTCACCAGTTGTTTGCGATGATCGTTACGATGAGCCGTGTTACTATTGCTCTTTAACATGGCATGCTTAATGTTTTGTTCGTCATTGACATACCATATATGATATTGTTCTTCAAACATTGATTGTGTTTGGCGTTTGTACATGTTGCCCTTTAGGAACCCCTACTCACTCTCTGCTGTAAAAGAAGGAATACAGTACAAAGTGTGCAACAAAATTTTTCCATGAAATGTTTTAACACTTTCGTATTTATTGCTCTAAATCCTAAAAAGTAGTTCTACGATGGTATACACAGGCAACTAGGCAACTTTGAAGGCACGACATAGGGGTCTTACAGCATTGACAGACCTCTCTGTGCTTTGTTTTTACATTGATTAAACAGTCAATTTCTCCAGTAATGTTTATCAAACCTTGCATCATTTGTTTACATGTGTTTCTTGTAAATTTGATGCTTAACACTAGACACTGCAATTATTATTCCAATTTGCCTGTGGCGAGGACTGAGGTGGGGTTCTCTGCACCTTTGTTAAACTTGGTAGTTGGTAGGAGTTAATTACCGTATTATTAATACTTATTCATGTAATATGTATTAAATGAAATAATTGTGGAGCGTTCTCCAGTACCACATTTTATGGATAAAAACAATAATATTCACGTTTTTCATCTTGTAGGATTTCATTGGATCAGGTGACCCGTCAGACAAGAAGATGCTGATAACAAAACAAGCTGATTGGGCTAAGAATATAAACGAGCCACGTGCTGCTGCTGAAATGTACCTTTCAGCTGGAGAACATTTAAAAGCTATTGAAATCATTGGTGACCATGGTTGGGCTGACATGTATGTAATCTATCTTTGTTTGTTTGTTTCATTTGTCACATTGTTGTTTATTTTACTCACTAATTGAACCACTTACATTACTTAATTACTCTGTAGAAACTACTGTGAAATACTTTATTTTAGCTGGATTTGATTTTCTCTGAATCATCCCTTAAGCGAAAATAGCAAAAATAAAATATTTCACAGTACTTGGATCAAAGGTTTTTTTGTATTTACACGGATAATTAGTCTGTATCTCAGAAATGTTTGTAATCTCTCACATGACTATAAGTAAACTTGATGACTTTTTATTTTTATCAGGCTAATTGATGTAGCTAGGAGGCTTGACAAAGCAGAACAAGAACCACTTGCTCAGTGTGCATACTATTTCAAAAGAATGGAACAGTATGCGTACGCTGCTGAAGTCTACACCAAGATGGGAGATGTGAAGGCACTCATACAACTACATGTGGAGGCTAGACACTGGGATGAAGCATTCTCATTGGTAGAAAAACACCCTGAATCCAAGGTAAATACAGATTTAAACTCTTTAGCATCATATAAATCTATCACCTTTTACAAAATAAACATGAATAATTATTTTTATATTGATTAGCTAAAATGATAAAATGTTTAGTAAATATTCACTTGTATGTCGAAGAGTTGTCAAAATTAACCATGGTCCAAGGATGAATAAAACCCGTTTTACCGACATGATCATCTTATGATTTACTGAAAATGTATTAGCTGTTCACTGATATTGGAAAATCCACTTAATATATATCATTGTTTCACCAGAAAATATTTGAATTTGAATTTAAATTCCAGTTCAAAATAATAATATACATGTACATGTAGTGAAATTAAATTGTATTGAAAGTTAATGGATTTATGATACATCTCTGGAGTGATAATACAAAACTCATTTTGTTATTTATATTTGCATATGAATTGTTGCATATGGGCAAACTTTTAATTTTGATTGTGTTTTTGTATTTCTCTAGAATGATGTATATGTTCCATATGCACAGTGGTTGGCAGAGAATGACAGATTTGAAGAGGCTCAGAAAGGTGAACTAGATGCGTTATGTTTATTATGCTTAATTTACTCGCAAAGTTGGATAGAGGCATTTTGTTTGCCTATCTTAACATTATATAGTGTTATACTGCCCTCTGTAGGCAATCTGAGATATATCTACTTATAGAGGGCGCTTTTAATCATAAAGTTATAATTTTTTTGTCTTGTAGCATTTCATAAAGCTGGTCGACAGGATGAAGCTGTAAGAGTATTGGAACAACTGACACACAATGCAGTACTGGAAAGTAGATTTCATGATGCAGGTTATTATTTCTGGATGTTGTCAATGCAATGTTTGGAGATAGCAGGTGGTGAGTATACCAAGACATAGATGTTTATTCACCATTAGATGTTATAAATGTTTTTGTCATCAGTCTTCTCTTAGTGAGTTTGTCTGTGTGTGTACAGTTAGTCAACATTTTGAAAGCATTCATGATATTTCATATGCTTTATTGATCAAATCTGTTCAGTTTGAGATACAATTATTAATTTATATAAGGTACCACAGGTGGACATCTCTAAGATTTTGTTATTTTGTTACGATATATTCAAATTCTTCTTGAAAAATTTTTTCCGACTTGTCTTGAAAACTGCCTGATCAATTATTTCAATATTTTTAGTGATTTGGTTTGTTAATTTCAAGATGATAACTTTAATTATCTAATTTTAGTGAATATTTCTGTCATTATTGGTAAAAAGACCATTTAAGTTACATTCTTGTTATCATGAAAATGGCTACACTGATTGATTTCTTATTTCCTACTCAGTCATAATACAGCAGATCTATATCAACCGACAGGCTTCTTGTATATATAGAGCATGTGTGTGTGTTTATATTTTGTAACATTCTTGTTGTTTACACAGATCTAATTTGTTTCAATTGTTTTTCTATAGATAATGCTGAGAAAAGAGAAGAGATGTTGAATAAATTCTTTGAATTCCAGAGAAAAGCAGAAATGTACTATGTATATCATTCAATCCATCGTTACACTGAAGAGCCGTTTACGTCTCACTTACCGGAAGCGCTCTTCAACATCTCTCGCTATCTACTCCACGCTATGATCAGAAACATTCCGCTTGGTATCAGCAAAGTGGCGACACTGTATGCGCTAGCGAAACAGAGCAGATCGCTAGGTGCATACAAGTTAGCAAGATACGCCTTTGAGAAGCTCCAATCTTTTAAGATACCATCCAGATTTCAAGAGTCAATAGACCTGGGTAGTATCACTATCAGATCTAAGCCTTTCCATGATTCAGAAGTAAGTATGGTTTCCAAGATAAAAAATTAATCAGGTTTCTAGTTATTTCATGCATTTAATGTTTAAATGTTGCATCAAATTTTCTATCTAGATTTTTATCACAATTTTTGATTAAATAAAAGAAAATTCCAATTTACATGAAAGATAATACAAAATAGCAATATAAAATGTCAACTCCCCCGAGAATTCTGTAGTCTTATTAATTATTCACTGAACTAATTTTGCTATTTTCACTGCTAAGAAATCTACTAAATACACATTTAATCAAATATCAATATACCGTTAGTGAAATACCTGTAATGGTTTATACATCATGATTTGTGATGTCAGTAAATTTCAAAAAGTACGTGTTTTAAAAAAGCATGGATTGTTGAAATATTTGTTAGCATTTCCATGGAGATTGGTGTATTACAGAAGAGATAAATTTTTGCATGTCAAGGTCAATTTGTTGTATTCCAAATTTCACTTCTGTTCAGGGAGTCACAGCGGCTTCTGTGGAATAAGGTACTCAGAACACCCTTCAATTATCAAATTACCACTGTAATTGAATGCCTAAGGGCACGGGGAAAATGACTACCGTGATATAGATGTTTTCCTGTGGTATCAGAAATCATACAGTTTACACTGTTATCTGTATAAACTGTAGTAACATATACATTACAATGTAGGTGTTTCTAAGTATTAACATTTTGTATCTTGTAGGATGTTTTACCAATGTGTTATAGATGTTCCACCACAAATCCATTACTGAATAACCAAGGAAACCATTGCATCAACTGTAAACAACAATTTGTACATTCCTTCTCTTCATTTGGTAAGGCTGCTTAACTTAGTGGATTCACTGCTTTATTAGTCCCCGTTCGGAGGAAGTCCGAAAACGGGGACTTATAATTCGGTCTCCGTCCGTCTGTGCGTCTGTGCGTCTGTCCGGAGTCATATCTCAGAATCCCTTGGACCGATTCTGTTCATTCTTTGCGTGTGCCTAGTACTTTATGTGGGACCTATGCACATGCAGTGGTTTAGCGATTTGATTCAAAATGGCCGACTGGCAGCCATCTTGTTTTTTGAAAATGTTGTATTTTGGACATGCTTTGTTAGTTTTCATTCAAACTTGGTACATAGATTATACATGTTAGGAGACATGTCCATGACGATTTATTTCGCAATTGGATCAAAAATGGCCGACTGACAGCCATCTTATTTTTTGAAAATGTTGTATTTTGGACATGCTTTGTCAGTTGTCATTCAAACTTGGTACATAGATTATACATATTAGGATACATGTCCATGACGATTTATTTCGCAATTGGATCAAAGACTGACAGGCATCTTGTTTTGTTTTTTATGCGGTATGTGTTTTGATGTAAATAAACAATCTGTTGTATACGCCACTTGGAACTCAAGTTTCAAGGACAAGCTCGTGACAACCCCTCTGCTTTAATATGACGAGCACAAAGAGAACTTTCAAAAATTTAACGGGGACTGTGTCACTTTCAATGACTTGTTTTTTTTTTGTTTTTTTTTATTCTTCATGATCTCACTCCTAAATATCATTCTCTGCACATCTTCTGCATATTCCATGTCATGTTCCTTGGCATTGCTTTTATACTCCTGTTCTATTACTGTTCTTTTTGTGTTGAAATAATATCCCAGTAGTTTACTGAATTACCAAATCGATAAGAAATAACAGCTTATTACTTTCAGTTACTGGACTATTGTTTGTTTTCTATAAGCATAACTCCAATACATCAGGAACTGATTTTCAAGTTCTGTCAAAATAACACATTTTAAACTAACAATGGGTTACATAAACATGTAATCATGTGCTACTTTAAAACATAGAGTAATGTCAACTGTGTAATTTTCACGATTTAAGGATTATATCGCATTGGTGAAGACAAAACTCCCTATTAAACTTCCTGACACTCTGTGTCGTAGACCCCAAA